TCCTCCTGTTTTTTTTAATTAGTGAGAAGAGTAACTCTCTTTTTCCAAAATAGACGTAAATCTCTGTTCTGCTACCTCTTAGAAGTGCTTCATGCTGATAGCTGGGGTGAGATTTTCACAAAGAGCATGGCACTTTGTCTCTCAGCAGGTAAAGCAGTGGAGCCCACCAGCAGGAGGAACATTGTTCTTCCCTTATCTGTGAGAGATGCCTGGTACATCATTGTGGTCACCTCACTGTTCCTCAGTTTCCTCAACTGTAAAATAGTAGATCCTGTTTATCGTAAGACTGAATCAATTCCTCATCACAAAAGGCTTTGAGACTCTGGACAGGGAAGCTTTATCATAAACACAGACAAATTATTAACTTCCTATATCCAGCACATGATGTGCTGAGTCTGGTGCCAAGGTGGAGCTTTGACTTCCCAGCAAAATTCAAACTATCCAGGATCAAAACTTGCTTTTATATTTCTTTTTGTGCGTGACCAAATTGCCAGCATTTTTATGAGTAGACAGTCATATCCAACCTCCTCTCCCACTGCTTTAGATCATTAGAAGTAGAAGGAGTTTTGGGTCTTTTAGAGAGCAGAAAACAGTAATAAAATAGAAGATTCACAGAAATAGCACTTAAAAGGCATTTCTTGCCATGCAATAAGAAGCTATCCTATTACTATAAACATGTTACTCTTCCAACAAAGTTATTTCTTGTGGATAAGTACTACTGTTCCAAGGTGGACATTCACATGGTTACTCTTCTGTCATAAGACTGGGTCTCTCAAGGCCCTTGAACATCAGGGGTGCAGTGGGCTTCTTCAGGGAATGAGTCAGAGTGACTAAATCTGTTTAGGAATTGACCTCCCTAAGTCAATGTTAGCTTCTGAGAAAAGCTCTGCTCATGTTTTTAGTGCTTCAGTCTCATAATTCAACACACAGAGCCTTCAAATGATCATTGGAAGTAAAAAGCTGCATGCAGACACAAATGGGGACACAGGAACCCTGGACCTTGTGGGTTAACTCCTGTCCTACACTGAGGTGTCTCATTAAAGCCCAATTTCATGGAATAATCTGGGTCCAGACCAAGTTGTATCTTACTACCTGACAGCTATTGCCTTCAAGAAAGTAAGAACTGGGTCAAACCAGCAGCCACTTTACTGTGACTCTGAATCTGCTCTCAGACAGGGGCCACCAGCAAATGCTGAAAGTAGACTGCAAAGACAAGATAGGAACAGGGAGAAGCCTTCCTCCTGAAAGACCTGCCCATCTCTCAGCCACACACTGGTTGTTTTCATCCCCACACAGGGATAAATACACAAACCCAAAATTTGGAAAAAAGCCTCCAAGAAATAATCACATGTCCAGAAAAACACAACTCAGGGAGTGAGCTGCTAAAATACCTCAGGGGATCCAGGTCCAAGTGAGAAGTGCTCTGAAGAACTCAGGGCTGCACTTTCAAGTTTTTAACACCTTCATCTGACCCAGGCTTTTCAGAGGCTTGGTCACCTATGGCTGCTGACTGCCTTTTCCTTACAGAAACCTTTTAATAATGTATTGCTTAAATAGGAAATAAAACAGAATCAAGATTCCTGATGCTCAGCTCAGAGGTGTGACTTCAGAAAAATCACTCCCTTTCTGAAGCACAAGGAGATACTGTCTTTTGAAACAGTTTTCACTACCCGTTCAAGTAACAGGAAATAAGAACCTATGTGAGGTTTTAGCAGCTGGAAATACATGGCACTTTAAAAGCAAAAACATACAAAAAGAAAGGATAGACTTCATAGTCCACTTTATCATTACTATTATTGATCAGTTAGGACAGGGGGTGATGGCTTTAAACTTAAAGAGGGTAGGTTAAAATTTGATATTAGGAAGAAATTCTTTACTGTGAGGTGGCGAGGCACTGGAATAGTTAGCCCAGAGAAGCTGTTGACAATCCATCCCCGAAGTGTTCAAGGCCAGGTTGGATGGGGCTTTGAGCAAGCTGGTCTAGTGGAAAGAATCCCTGTCCATGGTAGGGGAGTTGGAGCTAGATGACTTTTAATGTTGCTTCCAACCCAACCTATTCTATGATCCTATGATACCACACATTGAAGACTCATGACTTAACATAAGCATAAGTACACCAAAAATAGGAAATAAACCCAGAACTTCATCTACTACCTATTATCTTTCAGAAACAAAATGAGCTTGCACTGCATTTGAAAATGACTGTTTTAAAACGTTCTCTATTTCAAAGCAGACATTTTCCTGTTTTCAGGAAGAAATTAACTATAGAGTACATTCTAAAAGGCCAGCTATTTGTTCAAACCAAAATGTCATTTTTAACCTGAGTGCTATTCAGAAAAAAGAATGTTTTCACCCTCAGCATGAGCAGCACAAAGTCTTTACCATTGACTTCAACTGAACCAGCACTTGATATGTCTTAACCAATTCTGCATTTAGTATTTGTACACGAACTAAAACAGGCCTCTGGTATTCTTGTAAGTTACAAAATATCTGACGCAAATATGTTTTTGTTCAGAAGGTTTAACTGTTTCGGTTTTTTTTCCGTATTCAGTTTTCCATATATGTTTTTGCTTTGTTTTCTGATTAACCATGAAAGAATAGAAATAACATAAGAGTCTGACAAAATACTCATCTCAGCTGATGACTGTTTTCTTACCTACAACCGAAAAAAAAAAGGGGGGAAGACACTACTAGACATTACTAGTAATTTTGCAAGCACTCAAAATCATAGGTGCCACAGGAAAGTTCTACCACTCAGGCATATTTTAAATATAACCATGGGGAAAAATCAGAGAAAGTGCAAATACTTGTAATTACAGCATCCATTTAAACTTTACAATGTATTTTATTGCTGTTTGAAATAATTCTAAGCTCAGGCATATGCTGGCACATTTAACATGGAAATTAGCTGTGCCTGATAAAAATTTAGTACAGTTTAGTAAAACCTATAGCTGCAGCACTACCTGAGTAGTTTGCTCCTCCTGATCACTAAAAAAACCAAAGATAAACTTAGTGAGACAATGGTTGAGTGTGGTGTACCATCATAAAAGATAACTTATTCCCTACCTTTGGGGAAATGTGTGATAGCTGACATGTGTGAAGATTTTTTAATTTATGAGGAGACAGTAAAATAAAATACATTCTTTGAAGGAGTACAATCAAATTACAATCTATTGGTCTTGGTTGGGTTTTTTTGTTGTTCTTTCAAATGGAGGAGATTAAAGCTATGATCCACATTATTAGCTGACAAGAGCAATGTAAAGCCTACGATAGAGGGAGATCTGTATACCCAAGATAGAGCAGCCCTTCTTCAAAGAGTTTACAGTGTGGTGAGGACTCCAGCACTAAGCGCTTAACTCCTGGAAGATTCCCAGATTTAGGACTGAATGCTCAAGTTCTGGTACCAGGATCCATATAATCATTCCAATACAATGATGGACAACAAGATAATATGTATATGACCAAAGATGTCCAGAGGACTCAAGCAAATGGCAGATCTAAGCAATCATGAAGGGGAAATGTTCAACTACCAAATGGCATAAAGAAAAGAAACAATGAGAAAAGGAAAAATAACCCTTCATCTCTGCATAGCATTTATCACAAGAGTAGGTAAACACTTAGCATGTAGAAATATGATGATGCATCATGAAAACCTTTTAACGTCTTGGCTAACAATTGTATTCACTACCAGGACAGTTATTAACAGGTTGCCAGGAGAGAAAATAAAAGCTCCTAGACTGTTTCCATACTGTCTACGCTCAATGTTATTACTATTACATCAATGCCAAGAAATGATAATGGGATGAGAGCCCTCCCCAGCCAGGCACCATGAAAAACCACACTGAGAGGTTGTCATATGAACCAGTGGACAAACGGTGTTTTCTTACTCCTGTCTTTGTACTTGGGAAGTTGAGGCATATCCGTGTGCAGAGCCACCCTTGCCATGGCTGCATGGAGGCTTGTCCTTGTCCTTGGACCTGGTTCTTACTCACCCTGAGCATCCTCTTCCCCATTGGGGAGGGTGTCACAGTCCAGGCTGAAAGACAGGCACCTCCCAGTCCTGCCTTCCCCAGGATCATGACACCTCTATTTCTAAATTCCTCCAGCTCTTGGCAGCCTAGACACTGTTCCCAGAACCTCTGACACTGCAGCCCCAGGTGCTCGGTGGCTCCCGGGAGACTCCATCTGAAGGTCTGCCAGAGGCAGGAAGGTCCATGCTGATGCTACAGACCTTCAGGCACTTTCCCTTGTACATCATCCCACGGCTGCCTTTGTGGCATTTTCATTGCCACGGAGCTGGAAAAACCCAACTCTGGTGCCTATGCTTTCCAGGATACATCCCTCCTCTCCCTCCCCTGCTTTGCTCCCTACATGAATAAATTTCTCTCTCTTTTTTTTTTCTTTGAGTATTTATTTTTTTCCTCTTTCCCATTACCCCTTTAATGCAGAGCAGGGCTGCTGATTACAAAAGAGGCAGTTTGACTTGAGCAATAGGTCTTCTTCACTAATCCTCACTGTCATGGAAATTCCAGCTGCTACAAGAATAAGAGGCTCAATCCATATTTGCCAGCTCTAATATGAAATCTGTCACGGCCCAAATTAATGAGTTCCAAATCCCTTACATCACGATAACAGGTTAAGACTGGTCAATTAATTACATAAATCCTTCCCGATTCAACCGCGCGTTTTTCAGGAGGGGGGACCCGTGTCTTACATAACCGGGCGACACGAGGCCCTTTTGGCTCTCTCGCTGTTCCGCGGGGAAAAAAAAAAAAAAGGCCTCCATTTAAGAGCCCCCCTGCCTGCCACCGAGGCTGGTAGGGAGGGGGGGGGGCTGATAGGGAGCATATTAAAAAAAAACAAAACAAAACAAACTAGAAATAAAGGCGAAAGGCTCGCTCGGCCCCGCGGCGCGCTCCAGCTGGCGCACAGCGCCCCCCGGTGGCCGTGCGGCCACCGGGGGGCGCTGTGCGCCATCGGGAGCGCGCCGCGGGGCCGTGCGGGCGGTGCCTCCTTCTTTCCCGCGGGCTCCCCGCATTCCATCCCCTCCCCGCAACGTTGCCACGGGATGCGGTTGCCACGAGTTACCGGATGGGAGGCCGGGAGGGCTCTGCGCGGGGCGGGGAAGAGCGGGGCGGACAGCGCGGCGGCCCTCAGGTAAGGCTCTGCCCCCCCCGCTCCGCGTCCCCGGGGCAAGGCAGGGCAGGGCGGCGAGCGCGGTCTTGGGATGCTCCCTGCCTGCCTTTTCACCTTTTTTTTTTTTTCCCCCCCGTTCGTTGGATTTTTTTGTTGTGTTTGTTTGGGGTTTTTTTGTTTCGTTTTGTTTGGTTGGTGGGTTTTTTTTTTCCCTCTCTCCTTTTTTTTTTTTTCCCGCGGGCAGCCCCCTCGCTGCTGCGCTCCCACCCCACACCCGCTGCCCGGTGCGGATGCTCTGCGGGGCGCCTCCAGGTCAGAACCGCGGGATGCGAGCCCAAAGGCGAGAGAGAGAGAGTTCGATCTTCTGTTTTAACCAAGGCCACTTGAATTAATTTCTAAGGAGGTTTTTGTTCCAGAAGGCGAAGAAGCGACCTAAGCCGCTATACCGCGTTTTAAACGCCGAAGAGGAGAATGGCTGTGTCTTTCCTAAAGCGTTGAGGCCTTTCGTGAAAAGAATCAGTCCGAGACTGGAAATTATTATTTACATTTCTGCAATATTGTAAAAGCTAGAGAAGAAAGGTAAAGCGCTGTCCTTAGACCTGCGCCTAGTCCTGCAATTACAGGGAGATGATATAGGAACATGGAAGGTTTATTGTTTTGACTTTATCCGTACTGTGCAATTTACAGTAGAGCAAGTCACAAACACTTTGAATTTAATAATTCATAATTATAAAAAATTTAAATATTCCTCTGGAGGAAAGAAAAAAAAATCGGTATATCACATGTCAAAAAAAGACCTAGACACGGAAGTTTGCAGTGCGCCATTTCGAGCATAATTTTTCCTCAATGTTTATAGATCTACACTGCTATTTAAACATATTTCATTCCAAATACACCATCTTTCTCATCTTTCTGCTGTTTTTTTGCTGTTCTTTTTGTAAAAAACAAAAAGAAGTGAAAACCCAAGCACAACAGTGTGGGTGTGTGTATACACACAGTGTGTATATATATATATATCTATATATCTATATATATATATCTCCACACACACATATATTCACTGTGTATATACATATGTGTGTGTATATATATACATATTACAAAAACAATTGAAGAGTAAATCACACATGGTAAGTCGTAAGGTTATTAGGATATTGATATTGAAATAAAGGAAAGCTCACTGCCAGGTTTAAACATGAGCTAGAAAGTAGTAACTTGTTTTATTTAATTACTTAAAAGCTTTTAGGAAATCATCGTAAAAATGAGGATATAAAGTTCTAAGCAAAAGATAAAGCACGGCTTTTGAGGGCAGAAATACTGCAATTAGATAGAATGTAATCTGATTACTATTTCTAATTTATAAATTAGATATTAGCCTGTTAAAACAAAACAAAACAAAACTAGCAGGAAATGTCAGCATTATTTAAAACTAAAAAATGAGAATCAAAATACCAGTGGATCAACTGATCAAACTGCATGCCAGTGTTAAGAAATCACCAAATCACTGAGGTCACAAAAGACATTAAAAATCTTTCTTTTTTTCTAAAACATTTAAATTTGTAACAGTTATATTTAATGCTCCAAAAGAAACAGAATGTATTAAAGCATTTATATGCAGTTACATACAGCCGATACAGAAAGTGGACATACTAGAGAGCATGGAATACTTTTCCTCACCCTTTAATACAAAAAATTCTAGTAATAATAGCTACACAGGCAACATTCAAAAGATAAATATTTAAACAAATCTCTGTCATAGCTGAGAAGAAAGTTCTGTTATAGTAGTCTTAAGATTTTTTAACAGTGTGACGAGAAAATAACAGAACAACAGTAGAGCTATTAGAAAACAAATATTTATTTCAGAAACATCTTCATTTGAAAAACACTCACTGGCCTACAGATAAGTTCCTAGAATTAAAAATTAAAAAAAAAAACACCACAAAGGCTTTCCAAACCTTGTGTTTCTGTAATTTTTTTGCAGATCTTGAAGATGTCCTAGGAGGCCAGAATTGTAAAGTGCTTCAACAGTTTAACTCAATCTTTTAAAACAAAAGAAAACCTCATACTGTGTTAAATAAAAACATTAGTATTCTTCTCAGACATTATTCCAGTTTTTGTTTTTATATCCTTCCCATTTTTTAAATAAATTCACTGAACCATTTTTCTTGTAATGTGCCAACTTATTAAAAAAAAAAAAAAAAAAAAGAAGAAAAGTCAAGAAATCAAAATCTCTGCCTGGCAATAACAGCTATTTTTAAGCTACTTTTTTTGTGATAACTTGTTGCTTTAATTAGATGTTATCACTTTTACATTAAAATAACATTGCTGCTAACTCACACACAAGCTGAGAAAGTGAACAGATACATTTGTGCAAATCAGTAAGACCAAAGGAAAAGAAGCATGGATATTTATCTTTAAAATGTGCTGCCATCAACAAAATACAGTGGCTTGAAGTAGTTACCTAAGAGATGTTATTCTCAAGGCCATTAAAACATGTTTCTAAAATTACACAGATTCCCATCTGGATGCTTTAAAAAAGCATGCCCACACATGTCTAGGCTTATTAGCTGGCCATTTAATAATCTATTGTTTCTGTAATTCACAGGTTTAAAATGTTCCTTCTTTGAAAGTAACCACATAATTCTTAAAAAAAAAAAAAAAAAAAAAAAAGGCGAGCATGTATTTATATCCATTTCTAGGCCAGTAACTACAGCACTGAAGTTAATGGAAGCTTTGCTAGAGTGATCAGACCCCCTAGGTCTTTTTAATAGCAGTTAAATGTCAAATATAAATACAACACCACAGTGAAACATACTCCTTTGACAGAATCTGGGACAAGACACTACGCAGCTGCTGTGAACAATAAAGAGCAAAACTGACGTTTAATCAAAATAAGTGTTGGTGGTTACGAAGTTGTGTTCGAGCCTGCCTTTTGTTTGTGAAAAAGTCAATATTCCAACGTGTTAACTACAGCCACAATGAAATAAGCAGCTCCTGTTACTCCTGAAGAGTGGAGAGGGCAACATCCGTACAGCGCGTTATAGCTACGTGATTATCATCACCTCTCCATTTCAGCTGCTAAGCTAAAACACCCCTCCCAGCATCTTCAAATATAAGTGACAAAAGTAAAACATGTTGGCTGAAATCCTGGCCTTAGCGAGGTCAGTGCAAAATTCAGCCACTTGTTTCAATTGCCTTATCCAGGATTTTCACTGGGAATGAGTATCCATAATTCCCTGGGAACTGAGAACCTCCATCAAGCCGAGAAATTATGTAATTTTTATTTGTATTTCTAAAGTTATAAGTGACCATACTCGAAAATTTTTGCCTTCAGTACTCATGCATGATAAAACCAGGCTTTCTGTAAACACTGCAGAAATTTCGACCACGGGAACATGTATTTATATCTCAAATTGTCAGCAGCATATAGTTTGTACGAATGTTGTTTTGCTGATGTTGCCGAGCTACTTTAAAAAGTGAGTACCTTGGTGGGGTGTGTAATTTCATCAGCAGCGTCAAATGACTTCTAAAGATGAAACTTCTCTGCTGCAAATTACAAAAAGATGCTTTGAATATGTTTAATATGATATACCAACTTTTAAGATGAGGAATTAAGTTATCTTTATTTTTCTGATCCAAGACATGCACTCACTGAGGGAAATATTTTAACTGGCAATGTGTGTCAGAAAAGGACTTACCCAATACTGAGATTTTAATAGTCACAAAAACATAAATAGGTAACATGTAGGCCTGAATCAAGACACATTAAAAAAAAAAACAAACACCAAAAAACAACAAAAAGACAGTATAAAGGTCTGTTTTGAATATTTTGTAAGGACATATGGTTGTACTGACGACGGGTCTTTCAGGTACGCATTACCAGACAGCCCTGCTTGTGTGGCGCACGTAACCAGTAAACAGAGCAGAAACTGCTTTGTACTGTCCTTAAGATAGCAACAGAGGAATGATTTTTCATGATTCTTCAGAAGCTGGGCTTGCTTTACATCCACATGAAATGCTGTCATCACTAGGTCGGAGCCCGGAGGATGAACTGCAGAAAAGGGGAGAGGGGGGGAGAAAAAAAAAAAAAATAAAAGGAGGAAATTGGTTTTCACAACACACTCAAAGCCTGAGTAACAGAGGAGAACTTTAATTATCTCCAGTCACAAAGAGAGACAGGAAATTTGGACTTTTAATTAGCCATTTGGAGTGCAGTTGGATATTTTTTTAGCAAGATAATTTAAACGCGAATAATTCAAGTCTGACTAAATGAAATTCACATAATCAGAATGCAGATAATTGAATTTCTACTGCATTCATTAATTCAGTGTGGAGGTGTGTGTGAAGACTTCTATGATGAGCTGTCACAGCTCAATAAAATCTCAGTCAATTAATTTTTTCATTATCTTAGTATTACATCAACAAAAAAAGTGAAGCATGCGCATGTGTACATTTGGATATATAACCTCAGAAAGTAAGGCAATACAGAAATCACCTCTCTGAATCAGAGCCTGCATCATTTTTTCCTTTTTTTCTCTCTTCATCTTCTACAGGAAAACGTCTGTTCAAAGAGGCAAACTGGTGAATTGCATCAGCAACAGAGTATTTGGTCTGTCCAGACACACAAGCCTCCATATCTTCTGGGCTAAGCTGAGTCTGTAAGAAGAGGTGAAGTCTACTATCTGAAAGCAATAATGTGTCTTGTACGATCCTGGAAAAAGAAAAAAAGGCAAATGTTTATATATAAGCTACACACAAACACATATATTCTAAAGTGTTTTCCCAGAACAAATTCTAAATTATGTCCTGCTTTTAAGTTTTCAGATGAATCCTAAATCAATAACAGAAGGTAATGAGAACATACTAAAATGATTAGGTGTGTGTTACTTTCTTATTACATTATTTGGAATTTTAGGTGAGTAAAAACACGAAGCTAATAGTTAGGCACATCTGCTATTAGAATAACTTCAAGGACATTTCTTCCATTTAACCATCTGTTATTTCCACATGGATCAATTAATGAATTTTAGGCAGTTGGAGGCATATACTCTTACAAAAACTTCGTCTTTTTGTTTGTTGTTTGTTTGGGTTTTTTTTTTTAATAGCTGAACTTTTATAAAAATTACAAGTCATCAATTTGGTGGAATAAAGAAGTGTGCAGAGAGACAGTGTGTAGACAGAACAGTTTTCATACATGTGCTTTGGAATACCTGTAAACAATGGAGCCAACACTAGACAAAATTATTCACTCCGTTACAAATATGCATATATTTAAGCTAGAATGAAAATGTTAATACTGAACACTGATTTTAATTTACTTGCAAACAGTTTTCAGGGACTCTTAAATTTTATTTAGTTCCAGCTATTATTTTTAAAAAATCCACTTTAATATTTGGTTCATATATATTTCAAGTCTCCAAACAAATTTAGCACAGTGTATTTACTTAATATCACATAAGAGTAATCAAAATACAATCAATTCCAGTAATGCAGAAAGTTGCAGTTACTTTTTCAAGGCCTCAAAATTAAGGATCATCATCACTATTTGGGAAAAAAAAAAGATATGCAACTCTTCTTCAACATTTCTTTACAGAAGGAATTCTTTAATACGCAAATCCTAGAATGATTAACAAGAGACTTTCTTTATATGTGCATGTAATTTTACTCATGTAATAAAGACAGCAGAGTCTATGACCATGCCAAAGAGCGCTCCACAGAAAACTATTAAAATATCTTTAAACAACTCAAAACTAATAAGAGTCAATATTTACCTATTTCTACTCATTTAGGTAACAGTTTTTTACCAAAAAAAGTCACTGCTGTGCAATAGGAAACAAGAGATCACACTAATGTAAGAACTAGTAAGAGCAGAAAGAAATATTGCATTTTAAAGGTACTCTGACTAAAATAAAAGGTATAACTGATTAGTTCCTTCTCTCGAATAAGATTAATGGTGTGTTTGGAGTGTAATGTTTTAAAACACAAATACGTTCTGAAAACTGTTCTCAAAAGAGGCCAACATTACAATAACATTTAATAAACACACAAAAGGATTTTTGGCTTAATTCAAGCCTATAAAATCTGTCAAATTAAAAATAAGTAATAAGAGGTATCCACTTGAAAACACGAGATACTCTCATACACGCACATTTCAGTGGCCTAAGTAAACACACACATGCAGTCTCAAACAAATAACTCAAACTCTGACACCTTCCAGTGAGGAAATGTCTGCAATGACCCTAATGATCTACCCAGGTACAGCTGAAATTCAGTCTCAGAAAGACCAGATTTTGCTGAAGTTCAAAATAAGCACACACTCATACCTGGAGAAAGCCTTTTAAATCCAATCTAAATTCTCTCAATTTTACTTAAAAACAAACAGAGCAAACAGACATCTGTAAAAATCAATGTGTGTAGTGTATTAATACAAAGAAAAACTTTGTAGTCTAGAAGCCAGTAAATGCTGTGTAAAAATGATTCAAAACACAAAATTTACAGGTCCACACGCCTTGACAGCAACAGCTTCATGATTACAGTTTGAAAAGCCATCATTCAGCAGCCACTAAAAGAGGATTTCAGCCTTGACTCTTGATAAACACACATTCCAAAAAAAGACAAACATTGCAACAAAAAGTAAAAGTATCATTCCAGACAATAAATTCACTTTTATAGTTTATGCAATCGGGGGGAGTAAATATTCTCCTTCCTCTTCCTTTCCCCTTAAAAAGAAAGAAAAAAAAAAAGAAAAGAAGAAAAAGAAAAGAAAAATAACATGCTGGAGTTTACTGTAGAGTAACTACCGTTACTGTTTTTCACAGGCACCATGAGGGGATGCACATTTCTGCAATTCTAACATTTGCGTGTCTAATACCAACTGACCAAGCAAAAAGCCAAGTCATTAAATTCTGTGGACGGCATTTAGTTTCACAGATTTTCCTCTTGCTGTACCTTCAAAAGTTTCCTGCCAACCAGCAAAAACACGAGTAACTAACTGTTCATGAGATTACACTACACTTACAGCTCTGTTGCTGTTTGAAATGTATTTTATTTTCTTTATAAAATAACGGCTAATCTTTAAAATTGATTTAAGATGGTTTGAGGCATTGCACCAGAGAAGTAATGAGCACTAATGTCAATGATATTGGACACAAATTCATTTTAGCTTTATTTCATGTCCAGTACAATTCTGCTAAGCCTTGAACTGCTAAAGCACTGTTATTAACTCAGCAGTAACCTAACACATGGAACAGCAAACAAAAGTGATAAGAGTACAGACTGATCAGGACCTCAAGGCTACTGTCCTTTTTCTGCAGCTATAATTCAATTTCCAATTTTACTTTACATTGGACTCATTATTTCACAGTAATTTTCTTTTCTGCTTCATAGTGCCATCTGGAGGTGAAGGGAGTGAAGAGAAACCAAGGAGAAGAAATAGAAAGATGTTCATAGAGCTAATCACACACACACTGTGTGTGCATATGTGTGTCATACATATATGTATGTATGTGTGTGTGCGTTCACAATGTGTTCACACTGAGACCAAACACTCAATGCATTTTGCAAATCATTTTAAACCATCCTGAAAGCAAATATATGAACATCTTTCAGCTGGTTGTACCCTTGAAGCATTTCTTTTTTTCTCTTAATTAAAAAATAACTCCTGCTTTTCTCACCCCCTGTGAACCAACAGGTTAGACTGCTTTTTAATTGCATTCTTCCAGCAATCAAAATGAAAAATAAATTCTGTGCTACCCATAAATGTTATGCTTTCCTGTTCAAAATATTCCTGCTTCAAGGAAATAACCATATATTTGTCACCAGATGGTACTAGTAGCATTAAGTGCTGGTATAGTAGTTGCACTCTGGGGCTTTCACTGTCCTGGGGACTCACTGTGTGAAGGGTTGTACATCTGAAAAATAGATTTGGCTCCGAGGACTTTAAAAATCAAAATTACAAAACGCCACCTAACAAATTAAAAAGGCAAGAGGAAGGGAGGAGCATCGTAATATTAATACTCAGATGTCTTCACAGAGGCTGAACGCCTGCGCAGTCTCAGCACGACCAGTAGCACTCCCAGTGCTTCTTCAACACTTTTACTGCAGCCGGTGTCAGCACAAGGCTGTGGTTACAGTGATGTAAATCAGCACTCGCTGCCGTTGCGCTAATGGAGCAGTCACGGCTCACGGTAATAATTCCTATAAACTGACTGAGCATATTTAGGGGAACAACAGACCTTCTATGCACGCCTGGAATAAGAACGGAAGGCTAAATCCTGCAAGTCTTGATCCCATCAGTAGTCATTACTTGTCAGAGATCTCACTCCTCTCGGCCAGATTGCTCACATGCATAATGACTACTTATGTGATTAAGGGGGCTGCAGGATAAGGCTCTACATTAGAATTAGAGATAATAAAATCATTTTTTATTCACAGCCATGTGAATCTTTGTTTGTAAGCTTTCAGTAAATGCTCATGATCTCTAGACCTTTAAGGAAGCAGGGCCGAAAAATATCACTTCACAACCAGAAGAAATAATGTCATTTTTGAGAAAATGCTGGATACTTACACAAGGAATATTTCTCTTTCCCTGTGTTATGGCAAAAATATTTACAAAAGACAAAACATGTGTTTTGTCTTATTTGGACAAGGTCCAAAATCTGGTTTTCTTCAACATGATTTTATTAGGTATATTATACACTGTTCTGCTGGAGGAGAACAACATATGGCTGAACAGTACAACTTAATCCTAACTAAAGATTTCCTGTATCTCCTGTAACCTAATACAATGACAGATGCACGCTTGCATGTGTGTGGAAGGTTAACACTCTGGTTTTGTTTTCGACAAATTTACTCTGCCCATTTACATCATATCACAAGAGCAAGGGGAAAAAACCGAGGAGCTGAGAGACTGGGAATGACAGCCTGTGCTGTAGTGCCCTCTATTGAGCATCCAGCCCCTCAGCCCCAGCCCACACCGAACAAAGCCCCAGCTCCCACTCAGAAAAAAGCCGACTGTGTTTCCTCTTTCATTTTTTATTAAGGGAGGAAATGTTACTGATATCAAGCAACTGCGAAGCAACTGTTGGGTATCTGATAATGCGTGCGTTTAGGAAAAGATTAAGCGACACATGCCTGCTACACATTATTCACTCACCAGATAGGAAATAGTAGCACGGCTCCATTGGAAAGAGGCAACCACCACTTGCCAAAGGAGAGCCACCTGCCCCGCAGCTGCTGATACTCTTACCCGAGCCCCTGGCAGGGGTAAGGTGAAATTCAGCTCCCTTTTGGAGCCAGCCTCCCACTTCCCACATCCCTGAGAGAGCACTCAGTGAAGACAACTCCAAAACAGACCTCTGACCCTGCACCAGATTCTGCTTGTGGGATTGCAGTGGGGAAGGCAAGGAGGTGGAAGGAAAAGGGCAAAACACCAGCCACCTTCAGAGAATGACTCTGCCTTAGGCAGCCAAATTTGGGGTGGCTTGCTAACTCCAGCACCAAGCGAGCCCAATGCATGGCCCTCTAGACAACCAACACTGTGGATGTCCTTTATCAACAAGCATTACCTTTCTCAAAACTACTGCTATGTCTTCCACCCCATCATAAACTGCATGTCTGAGAAGTAATTGAAGAGTACTTTCTTTTTCCTAAATCACTTAATTTTTTGAGATCCACCTATATTCAATTAAAAAAAAAATAAAGTCAGTGATTGAACCCAACTTCATTCAAAGTATCTTTGTTAATTAGTTTTCTCATAAGCAAACCCAAATGATCTTCTGTGGGGTAATCTAAATCCCAAAGTTAAACCTGTACAGCTACAAAGGGATGAAAGCAAAGAATATCCTACAGAACCTAGTATCATAAGACAGTGTTTTAATTTTGACCTTTAATTTAAGAATAAGCTTTTCCTGTGAATTTACAGGCCATCCTCAAAGTATGAGGATACTTACCAGGAAAAACACATAATTTTCCTTATTCTTACTAAGTAATTCATAATTGAAAAGGGGCTAGCTGACTTCCGTTAATGCAAATGGCCTCTTGAAATATTAAATTATGCCCAGACAAGAAGTGAGCTTTACAGCTCTTCATCACTCAGAGATAATAACCTGTAAGACAAGTAGGTCTTAGCCTGCATTTGCACAGCAAACCCTAGTCTAAATGGGACACCTGTTTCTAGATTTCACCAAAATCTAGTGCTTTGCTTAACTTTCCAGCTGTTGGCCCAATTCTTATGCTACTGTGCTCAGCATAGAGAGGCTTCAAAAAGGCTCTAAGTATGCACCTTGCCCTTCGCTAACTTGTCCTGGAGTGAGATGCCAAGGACAGGAGAATTCTGTAGCCATCCAGATACAGGCAATATGGAGGTGTTCCCAGGGCCAGAAGCTGAGTACTAGCGAGCCTCCAGCTGCTCGGTCCTTGCTCCTCAGGCACATGGCTCCTGCATGGGCAGACACTACAACAACCTATCCATGCAGCAACAGGCACAGGGCATAAACCAAGACTTTGAAAGATCTAACGCCTCCTTTTCAGAGATGGCTTGGATCCTGATAACATCAGAAGGCACCTAGTGCAGAGAGGAGCTGGGATTCCTGCATCGCATCCAGGCATTTTAAACTGTTACCTGCAAACTTCTCACTTCTCCTGCTGCCACAAAGAAACCCCAGTGGGACTGTGAGCTTATGCACAGTGACTGCTGGGGCAAATGGAGCTTTCAGCTTTGCAGTTTTGGGTTACACCGCCTTTCCAATACATCGGAGAGGTTCTGCGTCACCTGGCATTGCCACACCACAGAACGTGCAGCATCCACACCCAGAGCTTCAGTAAAGTCAAGTGTGTATAGATACACAGATATATATATGCATAATATATGTATATTATACACATATGCATACTATAAATATAGAACATACATATCTACAAAATATACATGTATATTATACCTATATATTATATATATGTGCATTATATATATATACACACTTGTTAAGGAGTCCCACAAATTCAGTTTCAGAGAAGGAATCATAACCTTTGATTCAGAGTCATAAAAGAGGGGGGGTAAAAGCATCACGGCAGCATGGCTGAGCCAGCTGAAAGATGCTTTCTGTGAGCAGCAGCACACAGGTGCCAGCCAGCAGAGGGCAACGGTACAGCATGTAAGGTGCCAGGCCAATTCATCTCATCACACTCTGAGAATTCCTTCCAGTTATTCCCTAGGGCTGAGAGAAAGCTGATACCTTTCTAGTAGTCACGTTCAAACATTTAAATCCTTACCTGACAACCGAGTTTGCCTCTTTTCCCAGTCCTGGACTAAGAGCAGCAAAGTGAAATGCTCCATATGCTGTCATTTTCTGCTGCCAGTACCCATCTAAACTACAGACATCCGCAAAACTGGAGTGTGATGATGTGTTTTAAGAGACTCTACCTCTCTTTTTTGCCTTTTAAAGCACTGACAGTGGTTTTAAACATTTCTGATGCTTATATACTGTACCTTGTTACCAGATTGGCCTCTTCACTATTTTAAAATGAGAGTGTTTTTTGAAATGCACTGCTCTACAGGGCAACACAGCTAAGCTAGACCTGCTCATCCAGGAACCTGAGCTACCACACCCTTTGTATCATGATTAACATGCTTCTAGGAGCATAGTAATTCCATTTCAGTGTTTTTCTTTCCTGAGATGCAGAAAAAACCTCTGATCCTTTTCTGCTTTTCCTTCCCTGTCTCACATGCCTTCAACCAGTATTTATTGGCTGACCTTTTGGCCACAGATCCTATATAACTGTATACAGAATGCTATTCCTGCAGCAGTTAGCTCTCCCTGCCTTCAGCTATGAAGCCTAGCAAATATAGCACAGGAGCAATGATTTGTAATCTGTTAGGGAGGCTTATAACACACTGACTGGAAAGAAGATGAATAGTCTCTGCTTGCAGTGTTTCACCATGCCCTTACCCCTAGCAGCAGCCTGCAGATGTATGCACAGTTCCTGCCCCAGCAGCTGTGAGCAGCCTGCTCTCATACCAGCAGTGCCAGGGCACTACAAGAATGGCAGAGAAAAAGCAGAAAATTACACCAACAGGGTCTCTGCTACTGCAGAAGGTGAAGTGGCTACAGCAGTGGGACTGAGGGACACAATACTGAATCTCACAGTGCTGCCTTATAACACAGGTCAGGCTCCAGCTAAGCCTGATGAATGATTTTATACGGATTGCAGCTGTACTGAAAATGGTCACAGCTGCTAGAGCTTGCTTATGTTAGTGGGACTGGTAAAGAAAGTAATTTGCATTATAGGAAATCTCTGTGTTAGGAGATCTCACTGGAGAAATTTCCCAGGTTCCCAGGGGTTTAGCCCACCAAAGACATTGATTTTCCATGAACATAAAGAGGGACACTAGTCTGCTTCTTTCTGTGAGATTATCTAGCTCATTACTGAAAGCTAGAAACAGACATCACAGAGAAAGATCTCCCAACCTTAGCACGCGATTGCAAAGTGAGTTAAATCCAAAACACTGCATTTATAACCAGTGCAATGAAAAGCAACGGAAAAGCCCCAGCTGATGGTTCCTTATAACCAACAGAGCTGAAGTCACGTGTATGAAATATGACAGTGCAAATACAAAATATAACCAAATGTGTAGCAATACAGATGACCACACGGTGGCTCTCAAGTACCAGAGATGAGCTATTTTGAACCAGAAATTGATGACCTCATAAAAATTCCCAACATTTCTAAGATAGGCTGTTCTTACTTTTCCAGGAATTCCTGCAGACCCTGACGGCGATGGTCCACGTGATGAGGATTGTTCATGTTGAAAAAGGGAGTCTTAGATGGCAGTTCAGGTAGCTGTCTTTATTAACAGGAAGAAAACATGCAGTTAAAACCAAATGTGAAACAGCAGAGAAAAATGCAATAAGCAAATGCCAACCCCAAGCTCGTGAAAACCATGGGTCATGTTCCAGAAGCTCTTGAAATCAATTTGGGAACACAAGGCTAAGAAACTGGAGGGCTTCTCAGACATCTCAAAGGGGAAAATAAATTAATCTGATTTTGCTGGCCCAGTTGTTAAGCCTGCATGCATGTCTGGCTGGGTCTCTTATGGTGCTTGCAAAATCCAAGCACAACCAAGAAGTGCAGAAAGGAGGTGCAGACACCTATGCAAGATTGCTATTTGGGCTACCTGTGCATAGCAAAAAAACCCACAGATCAAATATCTTACAAATTAGAGGGGGCCTCACCAAACAAAGGCTATCAGTAAAAATCACATTCTTCTGGGTTTAAAGCACATAAAATGCCCTTGTACAGAATAAACTTGTCCAAGTAAGAAACACAGGACATTTTTCAGATCTGATTTCTGTAGTTCTCAGAATTAAGATGAAAAAATCCTTCCCTTCCATGACTGACAGATTATTAAACAGCCAAGTATAAAGTTGCTCACATAAGCACCGCATTGCTCTGAAGCCTCTGACGAAGCCAAACGAATTCTCTAAAGCGACGTCTAACACAGGATGTTTTCCTTGTAAAGCACATACTGTTTGTCTGTTGGGAAATAAAAGACATTTTATATTGTGAATCAGTTTAAGCTAAAGTGCAGGCATGGTATTAAAAACACATCTGAGATTCTATAGTAATGCCCAAGACACAAATGGAAAGCTTGACATTAATTCAGTTTATGTTTTAAACTTTGCTTTATCTCAGGCAGGACTGGTGACAGTTTCTACTGCTTCCCAGGGAAACACTTTTCATTTGCTTCCTTTTTAAAAGCAAGAGATTTGGATTACCGTACAACTTGCACTAACAGGAACAAAAAGACCTCAGAAAAAAGTTTCAGCAGATAATGTCAATCTTTGCAGGGAAAAAAGATCATCTTTAGCTATTCCAGTTATAATCCTGCAAACAGCTACATAGAGGTCTTCCAGTGTGCAGTCTCAGTTATATCAAACCAAAGAAACCAATGTGACTGCTCTCTGTAAGTAGCAGCATTTGGAAATTTTCCCACAGAACACTCTTAGTTCACTGAAAAATGACACTGCATCAAAAGAGAAACAATTTGTGGAAATTAAATACTTCTGCCAAATTTTCCCATGGAGCACACATTTAGCTGAAATCCCACCTACCAGGCAGGACTCTATTAGAAAACCGCCAGCAGTCCAACCCACCCTCCACACCTGCCAGGAGCCACAGCTCCAGAAGATGCAGACTGTAGAGGGCACAAAGATGACAGCTTTCTGAAACAGAGGAGTATCCAGGATACCTCACAGTTTAAGAGGCCAAATGTTTTAGGAGCCAGGTAGAAGAGGAACTCAGCTGGCTTAAGAGCCTGGCAGACACAATAATTTCAATCCACTGAGAGGTCTGCACAGTAGGACTGACCTAGGGACTTAGTCTCCAAAAGCCCTGGCATTGTGGTGGTAGGAGACTGAGCTGATGCTTAACAGCTTCACAGAAGCCCAGTGCTGGAGAGTTCATTTTCTTCACAGTAGCTGGTATGGGGTGTGTTTTGTATCCATGCTGAAAACAGTGTTGATAACACCGGGATGTTTTTGTTATTGCTGAGCTGTGCTTGCACAGAGCCAAGGTCTTTTCTGCTCCTCATCCCACACCACCGTGAGCAGGCTGGGGTTGCACAAGAGGTTGGAGGGGACACAGCTGGGACAGCTGACCCCAACTGACTAAAGGGATATTCCATATCATATAGTGTCATGCTTATCAATAAACTAGGGTGGAGGTTGGCTTGGGGCCGCTGCTCAGGGACTGGCTGGGCACTGGCTGGTTGGTAGTGACCAAATATTTCCATTTGCATCACATTTGGTTTTATCCTTCTTTGTTATTTTCCTTTTTAATAAGTATTATGATAATAATTATTCTTATTATTGAAAATTATTAAACTGTTTTTATCTCAACCCATGAGTTTTCTCACTTTTACCCTTCCAGTTCTCTTCCCTCCCTCCCTCCTGCTGGTGGGGCAGGGGGGCAGTGAGCAAGCAGCTATGTGGTGCTTAGTTGCCAGGTGGGGTTGAATCACAACACGCTGGATCTTAATGCAATCTCCCCAATTTTGCAATTGCAGAGAAAACTAGTAATACACTTCTTCTATTCAGAGGCACCAATGCCAGTGAAACAGTAATACAGCACCCACCCTGCCAAATCCGCAGAATTTCTATTTACCAGAAATCAAAAATATAATTGCTTTGGAACCAGCACTTGAAGTAAATTGCAAAATGTAAAATTTTCACAGTTCTGATTGCTACACAGGAGAGAAATACTTGCAACACAGACATTTAGTAAGTCATCATTTGACTGCTTGCTTTCGTTACACTGAATGCTTAACTCTTCCACACAGGAAGGAAATGCTTTTGGTCTTGTGCCAAGCATTAACCATCTAACTTGGTGCTCTCAAATTCTTATCTGATAGTAGACATAATTCACAAAAAAATTATTTTACACTGCAGTTAAAGTCCCTAGATCTAGATTTGGTAAGTCAGGATAACGCCTTCCATATGACATCCACCAAAGAACAATCAAGAAAACAAGATTAGTTAGTTACAGGACAGATTTAAGGCACACAAGAACCATAATTCTAGGTGCACTTCCATTACATATGGTGGACTACAATCATAAACCCAAATGCAGTTCTTTGACACACCCAAGCAAAACTAAACTAGCATAATATGAATGTCAAGGTATGCTGAAAACAACCACCTTGCAGCAACAAAATAACTTGGCAAAAAGAAATGAGGCGAATTTGAAGTACAAATAATCAAATAATTACTCTAAAAGAAAGTTTTTTTCCCACCAATACCTGAACATCAACATTGTTCTGTAACGGTAAGATATCACTGACTGTGACAGTCTTCTGGCTGATAAGTAAAGCTAAAAGTCATCTCTGTTGCAAAACATTGTGGAATGCACATGTGAAGAAAACAGGTCCAACTTCCAACCCTGCCAGACCTATTGACCTACATGGCTATTGGTCAACCCACCGTACCTGTTTCACTGCATCTCTAGCCATGCAGAAGTAGTATGCAGAAAATTTCACTAATATCCCAAAGACAACTCTGGCTTGGACAGAAACAGCAATAAGAGCCCAAAGAATCTGTGGTGATATGTTTATACTTACATGAATAAATATCTCATAGTCTATGTAAGAATGCCATGAGTCTTCTTTCTGTGTCCTGGGGTCTCTCACCAAGACAGTTACAAATTCCTGCAAGGGCATAATAAAAATCAAGCAATTAATTTCAGAAGGCAAAGGCAGACTTAAAGACTCTCTTGATTGTTCTCCTGTTCCACAAACTACAGTGCTCAGATTAAATGCCGAACTGCTGTTTTATTGAATTTTGCAACCCTATAAATGGAGAAGCAAAAAGCAATGAATCATCTGAGCTACACCACATGTCTGGGAAATTCCCTGCCAAACTGCTATCTGAAAAGGACTATTTCAGATTAAGTAATACTGTGAAAACTCATACATGTTTCATGCATGGGAGGCGTGATCTCGGTAGCTACAAACTAAAAACCTAACATTCAAAGCCACACATGTAAAGGAGAACTGGGCAGGTACTTCGGGCTTTTCCCACACTTGTAATCAACAATCACAAAGAGTACAGCCGAAGATGCAGCACTTGGGCACTTCTGTTCCAATCTGCCCATCCACCTGTCCAAGGAAGCAACACAGCTGCACTGTAGAGCATAATTCCCCATTTTGGGGAGACAGTGATATAGAGTATTTGTTGTAAAAGTTGTCATATCTTGTCTATTACCTTGTAATTTCTACATTTATATAATAACTTAGAAGGATTCCATAAGAGAAAGAGAGGCCTGTGTGCATTACTGTAATGTAACTCATCATCCCTAGTGGGGAGTCAGAAGAGTCTGAAGAATTAAACGCTCCCAAGTATCCTCAGCTAATGACAAAACTTGTATTTTAGAAAAAACAGAAAACAAAAACCAAAAAGCCTACTAAATCTGCATATTGACAACAAGATGGAAAAGATTCCTTTCAAATACAAAGGTCAAAACTGCTTAAGTATACCCTCTATTCTGGAGCAAACAAGCAGGCTGCCCTACTCCAGTTGCTTAAATAAGCTATTCACCCAAAGAGCTAAGCCAACCACTTAGCAATGACTCAGTTAAAGAAAAACGTATCCCTTTAAGCTGTAGATCCATTCCCTCTGAGAGAAAGGCACTGCACAAGATCTCCAGGTACAGGATTCGACTGTGGGAGGAATGACAGTGTCTCTGGTAAATAACATGCTTTTTTTAGTACATATTTGCATAAATCAAGAAATCTTGAACCAGAAAACTCTCAAAATGTGTCTTCCCATGCCCAGACCACAGACAACAAAATAAAAGCTTCTCTCTTCAGACAAGTCTTCTGCCCCTGCCACACACTTCAACATGTCACCAATGGCAACCTTCAATGGACCAACAGGGGAACAATGACAACCTTGAAAGGAAAAGATACATTTTTCCCTGAACAGCCATTGCACTCAATATATGGTAGGGAGGTGTTCAAGGTCTGGATTAAGTCATTTACCACTCTGATTTCCAGGTGGTACTGCTTCAGGCTGTGCCTGATGGCTGGACACAACCCACAGTTTTATGTCACTTAGTCCAGCTCCTAGTCACAGCAGTGTTATCTGCATTACTGCTGGATACCATTTTGGTGAGTAACATGAGTACCTTGCCAAAGAAAGACCATCTGAAAGGCTCCCACAACCTCTGCTGCTTCTTTCCTCACTGAAGAGCACCAGAGGGCCAATTCTCCTCTGTAGCTTTTAAACCCCGTGCCAGTGTGACACAAGAGGAACAAATGAACAGAGCTGTAATCATTTCTACCAGCTGAGGGTCATGCCTTTACTTTTACAAAAACACCAGTGGGAGGCATGAGGAAGTTATTCCCACTCCCGAGAAAATCATGAGCAATGTGCTGGACATAGGAGAGACAACCATTTTTTGGTTGCTTTTCTCCACCTGCCTCACTATCTACCATATTTGGCATACATATAGAGACAGAGTATACTTTCAGACCCACTGTAACATACTTTCATATCCAAAGTCTTAGGTTCTCCCAAGTTTTTGTATTCCCCAAACTCTTATTTCCCTGTGTCCCACCCCTCTGCAGAGCTCCAACCACTTCTAAACATACTGTCTTGTCTTTGCTGAGCACTAAATGCATCAGTTCTGCAAGAGGAAGAACAGGAGTTATGCCAGGAAGCTTCCAAAAGCATGCTGCTCTCCTCCTCCCTTCAACTGCTGCAGCCCAGGAGTCACAACTGCAGTCAGCCTGCTTATAATCTGATCTCAAGCCCTTTCCTCTCATTTACTGCTGTATCAGCTTGTTGCTGACCTTCCTTTTGACCAGGTTCCCCAAATTACTCCATTTCCATGTAACCTTCTATAACCCTGTCCCTTGTACAGAATCAAAATAGTCTTTGAAGTAAAATACTTCTTTCGAACCTTTATTATACAAAAGTTGCTAATGGATGTGCTGTGGGTTAGCTATGGCTTACCTTGCAAATCATTCCAGGCCACAAGATTTACACAAAAAGTTTTGTATTCTTTTAACTCGCACTTAACTAATCACTGAGTTTCAATACAGAGGAAGTTAAAGCCCTTCACACTCTACCTACCAAAGAAAGGAGACCTGCTGTAGGCATTCTGGCAGGCAGGTGTCTAAGCAGTAAAGCACTGAGCCAAGAGCAAAAATGATCTGCAGAACAGTAGAGCACCTCAGCAAACCGCAGTCCTCACATAAAATCATTGACAGCTCTGATTTAACACACCAGGATTTCAGAGAAGTTCCTTTTTTTCCCCTTTATTTACCAAAAAATGTCAATTCTGAGTTTAGAATGAAGCAAGATAAACATTAAGCAACTAGACATAAAAAATTATGTACAGCCTTTCTCAAGACCTAGGGTTACTTCCCCCAGAAACCTCATGAATCTAGGAAGTGTTAATCCCAATTCCCCTTGCAAAGGTTCTGCTGCTCTGAAACAGTGTCATTGCACGTGTAGACTACTCCTTATCCTTTGACCCTTAATTCTTGTCCAGGATACAAGATCCCCCAGGGAAAACAGCATTAATTTAATCAAAGCAGACTGAACTGTCCAGTATAAATGACGAACCAGTCACAGAAAAGGTACTTATGCTTTTGTATCCCTAGAAAATATGCATGTAAAGGCCAATATTCACATATAGGCTATGTTAGGGTGCAAGCAGAGTCAGGTGGCAGAATATTCCTCTGTGAGATTGCTGTTTTATGCTCAGCCCATCCTGCATTCACTGGTCACAAACAATCACAAGATTACAGCAGTTTTGGGTAATAATTGCCTTTATCCTCTGTATATACTCCATTCCCTCCCTATCTTGCTATAAAAATCAGGATACTCTCTACAGACATGTCTATCCTCAAGTAATGGACTGGCACTTAAGGGAGCTGATGCAGACCTCTTCCTCCTACAGCCCACTTGAAGACTAACTTATTTGTCACAAAACTGGATTGCAGACCAGCTGTACAACATGGGAAGTTCAGCCCAGAGAGAGACAAGATTTCAGGGACTTTTTACTTCTGCCAGCTGCAATCCTTTCCAAGGTGGCTCCCTCTCCCACCCAGTGCTGCTTGGTTTTTCCAGAATTGCAGATCTAGCTATTATGCAACAACTACATTATACTTTCAGTTTTGTTTGGGGTTTTTTGCTTAATGGTGCTGGTTTGTTTTTTTTTAAATTGAGGGGCACAACACATGCATGTATATCATGCATTCAAGAATGATATGTGTCCTCTAACGCTTCAGTGCAACAATTCTCTCAAACCAGAATTTACTGCTGACACTTCAAAGTGTCCAGCCTTGGGCATGGAGGCCTATTGCACTAGGTACAATACAGACTCAACAGAAAGCTACTGAAGCGTCATCTCCATTTATGCCTTTTCCCTGCAAACTGTTAAATTAAGCACAAAACATTTCCTGTCCAAACTGCTAATGCTATAGCTTTGATATAGATCATCCTCATGAATACTCAGGATTTTCAAATCTGCAGCAAAAGTATTCATAACTACTTAACAATCACGAATTGCAGAGCAGTTTCTCTGACTGGATGTGCCTTTTAATTCCCGGCTAAAACAGCCAGTTTAATCCTGGCACTGATGGTATTTTGCTACCCTGTCCTCAAGGCTGGGCGTAGTCCAAGCAGTTACAGTCACTGAAAAAATGGCCAAAGTGACATCTAAACCTGGTTTACACCTTCTCCCTCGTGGTTATAGATCAAAGATGCAAAGAACATGAGTGCTGACTGCAGAGTAAAAGGGCAGCACTGAGGTCATATAGGCACAAGCACAGAAAGCCGAAATGTTCCCATTTGTATTTACCTCAAAAGGAAGAATACACCAAAAGGGCAGCTGAAACAAACACAAGAAGTCTTTCTCTTTTCATTTTCTCCTTTTTTTTCCTTCCCCCTCTCTCCTTTCTCTTGTTGGATGTATTTTTTCAAAATGCAATGGATTGCTTAGAGATAAGGATAAGTCAGAAGCTTTACTATATAGAATTTGACCACAAAACTTGTGTTTCTGAAAAGTCTCTTTAACATTTTCCTACTAGGAAAATAGGAAATCTGACATGGAAATATCTATTTTTAATATGGGGGGAAAATCTACCACAAGGAGGTGGAATATAAACCATCTCACATTGGTTGATTATTTACATTAATCATTCCAGCTGCATTTTAATTCAAATCTCTGAGCTCAGGACTGTATCAGGTGATAACCTTGTGCTCTTGTTACACATCTGATTAGTCAATAACCCCTGAAGAGTCATTTTCCACACAGCTTCCAAGAAAAATAGCACATCCCATCAGATTGCCTAACAGTAAAAGGATCAGCCACAAAGGACATGGGGCTTTTCACACTGGGAGTTTTGGCATCTTCACTCCGCACATGCTGTGTAATAAGGCTGATAAGAGACTATAAGCTGAGATAAAAAAATCTGTTTAAACTTTTGGTGTTCATTGAACTGAGAAAAAGAGAACAAGAGCAAGTATGATACTTGTGGTCCACTCAACTGGTAATCAGAGTTCAGATCCAGCTCCAACCATTATGTCCTAGAAAATATGTAAAGACTGATGAAAAGAAGACTCCATCCAAGTCCTCCTCTCCTGTCTCAGTGTCTGAGCACAGTCACTTATTTGAACGAACAACTGATTCTTCCATCAAACTCTAACACAAGGAGCTGGCACTGCATCACTGCAGCATATTCTGTATCCTGGCAACTAAAAGGATGAAGAATACAGCCAATTTTCCCTGATCCACGTGAACCTTAATGAAATTCAATCCACAACTGTCAAACTTGAATACTTTTTTATTAAAGGTTAGACATGACTTACCTGCTTTTCATGTTTTGGTGTCATATTCACTGGTATGTAGCAAAATAAAAATCCACCTAAAAAAAACAGAACAGACATTAGATTGGCATTTAGTAGTTATTTAAAGGTCATTATCACTTTTGCTACTTACTAGTAGACTGTGGAAAGAGCCAGGCTTAGTGCCATATATACTAGAAAACATATTTGCATTAACTGTACCTCAGAACGCATTATTTTTTTTTTTTTAAATCCCATTTTAGAAGCACTGGGCTAGTCCCTTTCTGTTTGTATTTGTCATTCATGACAGTCCAGTGATGCCTGTCCATCTCTGAAGTCACTGCTTTTCTTCATTGCTCCAAGAGCGGTCTCAGGGCTCATCCTTGCACCCACCTCCCAAGAGCTCTGAGCAGCCAGCGTTCCCAGTGCACAAACACAGCTGAGGCAGTGCTGCCTGCACCTCACTCCCAGGTGCCCAAGCACAGGTCTGCGTGACCGCAGCTGAAGTCCAGAGACTCTAAAACACCTGAGTCAACACAACCACATGCCCCTCTCAACCATTTCCCCGAAATGGAGAGAACTGGAGAGACAAACAGCTTGGATCCTGCAGGCGAGCCCACATCACAGACCAATCTCTTCCCACTGGGTATAGCTGTAAACCTATATAGTTTGAGGTTATTTTCCACCCTTTCTGCTCTGGTTGAATACGTCATGGTTCCTTTCAAAATGGCAATTCAATTTTTTTCACAGTTATATATCTTTATTCCATCAAATTCTGCAGCGTGTTTCTCTCCTGCCTCTAAACTGATTTAAGTAAGAAATTATGCAAGCCCAAAATACCTCATTCCTGACACAGCTAGTGAATGACAAGGCTGAAATAATACATTTCACTTTTTCATCTGTTTCTCTAATGACCGAGTTATGTGCTAATGCAGGTTAGAAAGAACAGCTTAAACTCTGAACGGCCATTCCACTTTTAAATCTTTAGTGACAAAAAAATTAATATTTCAACACGAAGAAGCTTCCTAAAATATTTAAAATACATCAGTTCATCATCAAGTAATTTGGAAAAAAAAAATCAGTAATGGAAACGCAAGCCCCCCAAAGCTGCCCTTTTCCACTGATTTCAGCAAGATTGCCTAGTCATGCTGCAGCCACTTGCAAACACACTGAATGCAATATTCTGTCTGGTAGCAAGATATATATTTGGGGACTTCTTTAACACACATAGAAGCCAGTGAAGCAGAGCAGTTCAACTCTTTTGTTAAGAAGTTGTCTTTTTAGCTTGATTAAAAAACTACCCAAAATAGCAGTGACGGAGAGAAGCAGCCATCAGAAAGACAAACAGAAGGCTGCTGGTCTTTTTGGTCATTAAAAAAAATTTCCTCTGACAGTGAAATGAAGGACTGCTAGGAAAAAAGAATCAAAAAAGGTAGTGGTAGATCTGTAGTCTTGATAAAACACTTTCTGGCATTACTGGGAAAAAAATCCATTGGTTCGTCTATGTTTTTGTTCTGCTTTTGATCCATTATCCTTTTTTTTTTTTTTTTTAATTAGTTTCATATACTTAGTATATCAACTGCTCCTTGCAGTACATATTTTTGACGGTTCTTAATTGCATAACCAACAAAACTACCAGGGAACAGCTCCACAAATATCAACAACCACCACCACCCCAAAGCAAAAAGATTACGTAGGATGAATTGCCATACTTCCTGTTGCCTAAAGAGAATCGGGAAGAAGTGAGGAACAAACCCAATTACTGCAGCGCTTTTCTTAGAGAAAGCAGATAAACTGCTGTGCTCTTCTTCAGGCTAATAGATAAATAATACTAATTATTGTATTTCATTTAATATTTTAGAGCTTATTTATATTTTAAAATCTAAATTAAAACATGTAATTTAATATTTAGAAACCCTTTTATCATGTAAATGGATTGCTCTTAAAGGAGGAAGTTCTGCCCTACATTTCCAAACCGCAAGATCAAAACTGAAGCTGTAGCACTGACAAAAACCATGACAACAGAACAGCACGAACAAATGAAACCCTCCTGGCTGCCTCACTAGTAGCTGTGTTTAGTTGCACTGAAATTTTATTATTTCACTCCTTGCTGGGCAGTGGTCTATGCAATGTGCTTTTCTGCTCTGGGAGTGCTGATGGATTCCATGTGGCCAGTGTTTCCCCTCAAGGATGAATGCTGATCTTCAGCTCATCCATCCACACACCTTTGGTTACTTCTAATCATATAACTAAATGACCACTTTAATGGGGAAGTGTGATTTATTTTCAGACCTTGGTGATGATTGAAAGCACTATCCAGTCACAACAAAGCCCTCGGCTGCACTTTCAAGGTTGTTCCCATCATCAGTATCAAATGAAACTTTTATTCAGGGCTTCAGTGTGACCAAGTGAGAGGGATGAAAATTGAATCTCTAAATGCTTTCAGATCTTTCCCGCATTTTATGTTTTGCTTATTCAAGACTCAAAGAGTAATAATAATTTGAATCTAAAGCCTGTAGAGAGTTCAGCTGCATCCATTCATGGAGTTCACTATCACAGAACATGCCCATATGCACCTGACTGCACTATGTTCCTGAAAGGCAAGTGATCCATATGGATTTATAAGGAAGATACACATGCAGGGGTGATGGTGCGAGGGGGAGGACAGGAATAATAAATAAGAAAACATATCAGCTCTGGAGAGTTCAAAAAACAACTATAATAAACTCAATTCCATGCTAAAACATAACTACTACATAGATTTGGGATAAGATTCCTAATTTCTTTGGGGGAGCATTCACTGTATTTGCAGAAGCATCAGATTCTGGACTAATTCTTAAAGGTCAGTCACTGGTAGGGAAAGTCACCGATGCAGAAACAGCATCTCCCAACAGCTCCTGCATCGATCAGAGGACCCAAGAGGCATCTGTGTCACTGCTGTTGCAAGGGAGGAAGAAATAAAGGAACTAAATCCCCACTTAGTACTAACTCAAAGCTAGTCAGAAGCATGGATGAAATACTACTATAGGTTTCAAATGAAAGGATAATAAATGGGAAAAGCAATGTTAACTTGTTTATGGAAAAAAAACTGCCTGAAATCCTAAGATCAGACATACTGTATGTATCAGTGGAAAGGTCCATCTAGTCCAGCAGTGACTTAGATGGCGACTCACTCTGGAACCTGAGAGTACAAAGAACAGGCAACACTTTGAATGCTTATTTCCATGTTTTGAGGGGAAAATCACGAAAACTATGTGTGTATAAATGTATGCTGCCTGTATAAAGTGTACCATTCTGTGATGCCAAACTGACCACATCATAACACAGTTTGGCATTTACAGCAGTTGTGTACACGGCTATCACGGTTATCCCATCTTGATGATGGGAAAATTCTTATTCAATTGCTTTTGCCCAAGCAGGGACTTTCAGTCCATCCAGAGAAACTCAGTCTCAGCATAAGTAAATGCCTTGTACTTCACCCGGTCCACTTTAATACCTGGGGTCAACCCAACTGTGCTGATCAGAGTCATGAGTTCCCTTTTGTTCCTCACTGTCCATGAACCAGATGGTGAGCAGGTCAGAGTACTACTGAGTAGTACTCAGTACTCCAGACTGAGTAGGTCACAGAGCATCTTCCTTTCTTTCATCTGTTCTGATGACCCCTCACCCTTCCTCAGCAAATCACCATAAGGGTCTGCTCGTCAGAAGTGAAAAGAATATAAAAGACATCAGCATTTTCATCTAAACTCTGCACAGCGGGCAGGGGTGCACAGATTGTTTAGTGAAGTCAACAAAATAAAGTACCCATTTAGCAAATCCATCTCACTTTCCAGGCTCAAGGTACCCCTTTCATTAGTGTTGTTTAACAGTAGCAACAGAACCACTTTGTTGCTGAGCAGGAAACAAGCACACTGTCTAAACTGCTTTGAAAAGAACAAGAGCTTTCCAAACCACTGACAGAATTCATACACCTTCCCTCCAACCACAATGCCATGAAGAAACGCACTGCCAAAAAAACCACGTGTTTGCAGCTGCACTTGAAATTCTGACGTCCATCCTCCACTGCCAAGAGGCTTAGTTAACTGCTCTTTTCCTATGGGATTTCAGTCCATTTGGTTGCTAAATGCTTGTTTATGGCCACCAGGTAAAAGACAGTTTCTCTTTTACGATTATGTTAGCATTTCTCCCCAGTCAGCCATGCCCTTGTCCTGCAATCTTCTTAGCTATTAAGACCTGTTTTACCAAAAGAATTAATTTGGTTCATTTAAAAAAACCCCAAAACCAAAACACTATGTAAGAAATTTTCATGTATTTCAGAGGACACTGAGAATCAAAGAGTTAATCAAACATACTAATTTCCCTCTCCCCTCCAAAATAAATACATCAAATGGATTACAGTGTCAGGTGTGGGTCACAGATTTCCAATTACATTGGTATTATGCCACGCTTTGAATTGCTTCAAGTAAACACCATATTGCTGGACAGCAGCATGACTCACCTGCCAAGCTTCTTTGAAACCTCTAAAAGCCTAAACAAGGAAGAAGTGCTAAGAAATCTGTTCACAGCAGGAGAGAGCATCAGATTTTCCTCATTATCCTCTTTTTCTTTTGTTTGATTGTTTTGGTTTGTTTGTTTTTCAGTCTCAAATTGCAGATGTATCCTCAACCAAAGGATTGTATGTATGTTCTGCAGTTTCAGTGGGTTGCTGATCCCAGAGCAACTATTACTTCACTTTTCTCATATTAGAAAATACTGATAAGGCTAACACTGGGAGCTAGGACTTTCAGGCAACGGCTAGCAAATGGTAATTGTAGGTCAAGACACTTGAAAAACAGTACCTGTCAGACTTTCTCATGCTAATTATCTGATGCTTGCCACAGTTGCTGCAGACAACCTGGGGACCACTCAAAACTCTCCTGCAGCTCTGGCTCCTGTGTTTTCCAGGCAGCCTGTCAAGATGGTCTGCCACGTGAGCCTGCCTTTGCTACTCTTTCCAATTACTATGGTGCACAGTAAGTAGCTTAAACTACATGAAATGATTTTGTGGCATAAAGGATCACAGGTTTTTTGCTAGGGCATTTTCAGAAGGCCAATAAAGATGTAAGGCAGTCTTTGAAGGGAAGCATTGGCAACTTTCAAGGTGAAGTTTCAGGAAGCATGCTTGCTCCAGAGAGCTTTTGAGATCCCTTGAGCTAGAAGAAACCAATTTCAGAAGAAACAGCAACCTTAGCAGTCTGGCAAATTCAACCATCTTTCAGCTACAGCCGTACTTCAGATGGAAAATACTGGACAAGCACTAGGCTTCTCACTGTACTTACACAGAAAGGGCACACCACTGGCACTGAAACTACTTTTGAAAACAGAGGGGAAAAAAGCAAGTAATTTCCAGGCTAAAACCACTTGCTGACATAGTACCTGACATAGTACTCTCACTTATGTCTCCCTGTGAGAGTTCTGTTCAGTTACAAAAGTAATGAGTGAAGATATACACACTGTGCACACACAAATGATACACAAATTTTATTAGATACACCAACAGAGACAGATAAGCCACCCCTAGGTATGTTTTACATGATGCTAGTTACAAACAACTCATCAGACAGCTTTTACTTTTACAAGCTGGATTACAAACCAACAAGATGGGGGCTGTAAAGAGAGACTAAATTATCAGCACTTCAAAACACAGATTAAATTCCTAAGAAAAATATAAAATGCTTCTTCTGAAGAAGGGTTCAGAGAACGTATGTCTGTCTTTCTCCCAAAAATTAAACTGCCTTAAAAATAGCATCTTCCTCAAGATATCTGTCTGCAGTAACTAATTTTTACTTATTACAGGAAAAGA